GTGAAATTGGAGGTGGATCGCCTAGATAATATAATCCATCTCTCTCATGTCCCCTGATAATAATCCTCTTGGTACTCAGGTCCTGTAAATAACACGAATTATATAAACACACAATTGCACAGTGAAAATCTCTGGCTAACTGATGTATGGATAATAGATTCATAGCCGCATGAAAAATCGAATGTAATGTAAAGTCATCTGGGAGGCGGACTGTAAGGGAATGTGTCCCGTCTGCTAACTGAACTTGTGTATGTAACTGCTCGTCAAAAGTGGTGAAGTGATGGACCTCACTTGTCATATGACCTTTCGCACCCGAGTCTAACATCCAAAGGATAGACGAATTGGTGCAAGCATGAAAGATANTAACATGCAAGCTAGGAACAAATAAAGATAAAGTAGGTGCAGGTGATGGAGGTGGATCGCCTAGATAATATAATCCATCTCTCTCATGTCCCCTGATAATAATTCTCTTGGTACTCAGGTCTTGTAAATAACACGAATTATATAAACACACAATTGCACAGTGAAAATCTCTGGCTAACTGATGTATGGATAATAGATTCATAGCCGCATGAAAAATCGAATGTAATGTAAAGTCATCTGGGAGGCGGACTGTAAGGGAATGTGTCCCGTCTGCTAACTGAACTTGTGTATGTAACTGCTCGTCAAAAGTGGTGAAGTGATGGACCTCACTTGTCATATGACCTTTGCACCCGAGTCTAACATCCAAAGGATAGACGAATTGGTGCAAGCATGAAAGACACGAGGTATACCTGTAGTAGTAGTCGGACCCCGATAAGTCAGGACGGACATAAGTATATCTAATCGAAAAATGATAGCATCCATATCACTCTGCCAAGGAAAAGTAGGAACAACGATAGTAGGTGGTGGTACCTCAACAATAGCAGCAGTACGACTGCGAGGATGCGGTTTAAGCTCCGGATAGAGCTTTCAGCAAGTAGTCCTGAGATGGTCTGGTCGGCTACAATAATCACACTGACGAGAACCAGAACGTACGTTCTAGGTGGAAGTACTAACAACATAGATCTTAATCGTAGAGGCCTCAAATCCCTCAGTAGTAGCCATAAAAAATAATAATACGTGGGCACCCGTGACAGAAAAAAATTACTCTAAGATAAATAGAGAGATAAAATAAGAGAGAATAATATATCTCCAGTCGAACAAAAATGACAGATAAAGAAGGTCCATAAAACTCCCAAATAATCAGGTTGTGGTGCCTAGAAATCCAGAAAATAGAAATAAATGATCTACTTCATCAAGAGTAGATCAATGGAAAAGGGGATTCAATCCCTTTTAAAACAGTCCTATATACTGCGACGAAGAGTGCGAAGGACGAAACTACAACAAAAAATGTGACCCGACAGTGGGCTAATGAGTGGAGTGGACAGTGACCCAATAGTAAGAGTTTGGTTAGGTAGTGGGCTGGTCTGGGTTCGATTTATTGAGTATGTTGGTCAGTGAAGGATGGGCTAACTGGTGGCAGTCGGTGGAGCTTAGTATGGACTGGTATGCTGGTTGTGAACTTGGTGGAGTGGGTAGTCGGTGGTTTTGACTGGGTGGTTTCGACTAGTTGCTGTCGGGGTTTACTGGTTTTATTTATTTATTTTTTGTTTTGTTTTGTTGGTGGAGCTTGTTACCTAGTGCAGGCTGTGAGTTTGTTGTTACAGGCTGTTTGTTGATCAATGGAGTTACTGGTTCGTTGATGGGTTTGTCGGACAAGGGGCTGGTTTGTTGAGGAGTTGTTGATTTGGTGAAGTCGGTGGGTTTGTTGGGATGCGTGGTATCGGTGGGTTTTCCTGGGAAGATGGGCTGTCGGTGGTTACTTTTGGGTGAGGAGTTATTGAGATGGATTGGTATAGACAATGATGGGTAGTCAGTGGAAGAGATGGAGAGATGGACTAGTCGGTATAGGCAGTCGGCTGTCGGTGTGTTGGACGTTTGGTTTGTTTCGTTGGTTACGAAGATTGGCGGAGGTTAGGTTTAGGGTTGATGGCTCTCATACCAACTAGAAATATATGTGAGTAAAAAGGGATACAAATTAAGTGTAGAGCCCCCGTATATATAACCAATAAAAGTTTACAATAAAGATAAAAAGGTAAAACAAAATAAACCCTAGGTTGTTATATCTCCAACAGATAAAAAGTGTTTGCATAATTTTTTCAAAATGGGTTGATAAATGATATTACTAATGCCACCTTCATTTCTCTCATTCCAAAAAAAGAAAATTCACTTAAAATTAAGAATTTTAGGCCAATTAGCCTTGTTACAAGTCTTTTTAAGATTATTGCAAAAGTCTTATCTGTTAGATTAAGGGAAATTTTAAGTGATACCATTTCAAGTTATCAAGGGACTTTTGTTAAGGGGAGACAGATTTTGGATGTTGCTTTGGTGGCTAATGAGGTGCTTAAAGAGTATAGAGCTAGAGGAAAGTAAGGAATTGTTTTAAAGATTGACTTTGAGAAGACTTGTGATCATGTGGATTGGAATGTTTTGGATTTTGTGTTGTAGAAAAAAAGGTATGGGTTGAGATGGAGGAAGTGGATTAGTGGATGCCTGCAGTCTATGAATNTGATCATGTGGATTGGAATGTTTTGGATTTTGTGTTGTAGAAAAAAAGGTATGGGTTGAGATGGAGGAAGTGGATTAGTGGATGCCTGCAGTCTATGAATTTTTCAGTTATTCTTAATGGTAAGTCGAGAGGTAAATTTAAAGCATCTAGGAGATTGAGACAAGGTGATCCATTGTCACCTTTCTTGTTCACTTTGGTGGTCGATAGATTGAGTAGGTTAATNCTGCAGTCTATGAATTTTTCAGTTATTCTTAATGGTAAGTCGAGAGGTAAATTTAAAGCATCTAGGAGATTGAGACAAGGTGATCCATTGTCACCTTTCTTGTTCACTTTGGTGGTCGATAGATTGAGTAGGTTAATCATAAGGGCAGATAATTGTAATATGGTGGAGAGTTTTGTTGTGGGCAGAGAGAGAGTGACAATGTCTCACTTATAGTTTGTAGATGATACCATTTTTTTTCTTTCAGGGATGAAGAGAAGTTTNATCATAAGGGCAGATAATTGTAATATGGTGGAGAGTTTTGTTGTGGGCAGAGAGAGGGTGGCAATGTCTCACTTATAGTTTGTAGATGATACCATTTTTTTTCTTTCAGGGATGAAGAGAAGTATTTAAATATTGAGAAAATTGTGGATGTTTTTGGGTGGTGTTGTTTGTAGGCAGATAAAAGTTTGATTGTGGGAATTAATGCTAATCAAGATAAAATTGCTAGATTGGATGAGGTTTTGGGATATTCTGTAGGTGGGTGGCTATTGAAGTATTTAGGGCTTCCCTTAGGTGGTAACCCTCTTTCTTTGGGGTTTTGAGATCCAGTTATAGAGAAAATAGGTAGAAGGCTGGATGGTTGAAAAAAAACCTTTATATCTAGAGGAGGGAGACTTACTTTGGTTAAGTTTGTTTTAGCTAACATTCCTATTTATTTTTTTATCTCTTTTTAAAATGCCTGGGTGGTGGCGAGAAAGATTGAAGGAATAATAAGAGATCTTGTGGGAAGGTAGTGGTGACTGGTGAGGGTAAAAGAGATCACTTGATTAGATGGGATGTTGTGTCGAGATCTAGAGTTAAGGGTGGACTTGGGGTGGGTAATTTAAAAGTAAGAAATAAAGCTCTCATAGAAAAATGGCTTTGGAGATTCCCATTGGAGCAAAACTCATTGTGGCATTTGGTTATTAGAAGCAAGTATGGTTTGTAGGCTAACGAATGAGATGCTAATGGAGTTGAAAGTGGTAGTTTTCGAAATCTATGGAAATTCATTTTCTCAAGGATTTCCTTCCTTGTCTCCAAGGGTTAGTTTTGTTGTGGGAAATAGGGAGAGAGTACGGTTTTGGGAGGACTTGTGGATTGGGGAGTCAACCTTATCTTGTTTATTTCCTCGGCTTTATAGCCTTTCATGTTATCATCATTCCCGTATTGCATCAATGGTTGGATCTTTTTCTAATCCGGTTTCATGGAATTTTGGTTTTCGTAGGAGTCTTAACGATAGGGAAACTTCGGAATTGGTCTCACTTTTTTCTTTGTTTGATAATGTAAATTTGCATCATGAGTTAATTGACAAAATAAATTGGATCTTACTTTGATTATTTGATTGATGACATCACTCTCCCAATTTATTGTCCATCTTTGAAGATATGGAAGACTAAGGTGCCTTTGAAAGTGTAAGTTTGTGCATGGGTCATTGCTCATGGAAGCTTGACACTAATGATTTGCTTCAAAAAAGAAGACCTCATACTTGTCTCTCCCCTCAATAGTGTGTTATGTGCAAGAATGATTGCGAGAATGTGAACCATTTGTTTTTGCATTGTCCTTATGGAATAAGTTGTTTGAAATGGTGGGGCTTTCTTGGGTGGTTCCATATTCAATCTCAACTATGTTGTGTGTGGATTATAAAGGATTTGGAAGAAAATTAAAGGAAACACTCTTTGGGAATGTGTTTTTTTTGCAATTATTTGGGTGATTTGGTTAGAAAGAAATTCAAAATTTTTTAAGGATAAGTATGAAGTGTTTGATGGGCTTTGAAACCGAATTCACTTTCTAGCAACTTTTTGGGCGTTGGCTTCAAAGGAGTTTGCAAATATCCCTCTATTTGGAATTTTGGCGAATTGGAAGGCGACTTGTGATCGATTTGTTTGCTTTTTTCTCTATGTTCTGTTTTTGATGGTTTGTATCTTGGATGGATTATTTGTCAATCCATGAGTTTCACTTGTATGCTATTGTTTCTTTTAATAAAATTGTGTTTCCTATCAAAAAAAAAAAAAAAAAACTGCACAAGTACTTGAACATTATAAAAGAGTAGTCCTTGTATGCACATTTCTGTGTTACATAATGTTTTGTTGAAATTTTTTCCTTTCTCTTTTCTTTAATGTCCTTCTAAAGTGATGTTATCAGACTTTTGAAGTAAATACCTAATTTTAGATGCAAAGGTCTGGTCTTCAACCTGATGTTGTCAGCCATGCCTTACTTATTAAAGCTTATGGGAAAGCTAGAAGGGAAGAAGAGGCATTATCGGTGTTTGAGGAGATGCTTAATGCCGGTGTCAGGTATGTACTTACTTCTTCTCGAAATGTAGAGAGCCCAGGGTTCTGAAACTTGATTGTTGAAAACTACTTGGTCCTATGCCCTAGTGCAATTTNGCTTATGGGAAAGCTAGAAGGGAAGAAGAGGCATTATCGGTGTTTGAGGAGATGCTAAATGCCGGTGTCAGGTATGTACTTACTTCTTCTCAAAATGTAGAGAGCCCAGGGTTCTGAAACTTGATTGTTGAAAACTACTTGGTCCTATGCCCTAGTGCAATTTTTCAGTTTCTCTGACTTGTTGAAGGCCACTGACCTAGTATATAATAAGTCTGATTCTGTTCCTGTTCCTGGAACAGTTTTTTTTCTTTGGTACAAGTTATGGAAACTTGATGCTATTAACATGTATGTTTATTAATTTATTGTGCTTTCTTGTAGTTGCCCTCTAAATGCTGGACTAAATGAAATCAGCTTTTTTCGGTTATCAGACAAGAACAATTTGATGATCACTCTCTTAAAAATTTTATCTAACCCCCCCAGGGGCTGGCAGCAGGTCGGTCCTCTTTTTGAACAAAAAAGATGGTGAGGAAAAGACACCTGGGTGAACATTGAGAGGGTCTTTTGGACATTGTGGGTCCAATAGAAGAAAATTTCTTTGCTAACTCTGCAAGTCTTATGTCATTGAATCTAATANTGTTTGAGGAGATGCTAAATGCCGGTGTCAGGTATGTACTTACTTCTTCTCAAAATGTAGAGAGCCCAGGGTTCTGAAACTTGATTGTTGAAAACTACTTGGTCCTATGCCCTAGTGCAATTTTTCAGTTTCTCTGACTTGTTGAAGGCCACTGACCTAGTATATAATAAGTCTGATTCTGTTCCTGTTCCTGGAACAGTTTTTTTTCTTTGGTACAAGTTATTGAAACTTGATGCTATTAACATGTATGTTTATTAATTTATTGTGCTTTCTTGTAGTTGCCCTCTAAATGCTGGACTAAATGAAATCAGCTTTTTTCGGTTATCAGACAAGAACAATTTGATGATCACTCTCTTAAAAATTTTATCTAACCCCCCCAGGGGCTGGCAGCAGGTCGGTCCTCTTTTTGAACAAAAAAGATGGTGAGGAAAAGACACCTGGGTGGACATTGAGAGGGTCTTTTGGACATTGTGGGTCCAATAGAAGAAAATTTCTTTGCTAACTCTGCAAGTCTTATGTCATTGAATCTAATATTTGTCAAAAAAGTCTAAAACTAGCTAGTGTATTTTACTGTTCAAAAAAAAAAAAGCTCATGTATTTTGGTTAAAGAAAAGTCAACCTATGTTTACTCACAGATGGACTACCTGTGGGTTGTAGGGCCGTTGGAGTTAGTGGCTGATGGCACTAGTGGTTGGGCCGGGCTTTTGGGAGTTGATGAACCTTTATTTGTTGTCGTTTGTTAGACAAAAAGTTCGGTCTTTTGTTTTTCATCTAAGGATAAAGTGAATGCTAAATCACTGAGCATGCTGAATTTATCAAGGAGGTCGTTGTAGTTTGTTTCTTTCTCATCATTGTGAACAAAGATTACACTTTTTTGTCTCTCTTTTCAGGCCAACACAGAAAGCTTACAACATCTTGCTTGATGCATTTGCAATCTCTGGAATGGTGGAGCAAGCTCGGACTGTCTTTAAGAGCATGCGAAGGGACAGGTAACATTGCATTGGCTGAATATCTGCTTTGTATATGTATAGACCCCAGCGCATTGGCTGAATATACGTTGCTTCCAGGGCTCTGCTTTGAACTTATCTAAAACCCTAGATAGAAATATGGTCTCTTGACAAATTTTCATCATTAGAGTTTTTCTTTTTGTAATCCTATGTATTTCATCCTAATTTTCATTTAATCTTCTCTTTAGATAATGATTTACCAATATTGAGGAGATAAATTTTGAATGAGTTGCCTTTGTCATCAAATAGTTTTTTCTGCACCTGTTCTTCAACTTCTAGGATCTTTGGGTAACAGAGTCAATATAGGTTTTTTTTTTCATGATTTGTCATGATAGTAAACACTAATTTTTAGAAATTATTTGTTCTTTCTTTTCTAATATTCTTGATATTTCGTCTCTAATTGGGGGCTTATGTTAGCGTCCGGTGTGTGTATGTGTACCAATGCACCTTCATGTGCATTCATTGTTTTCTGGAGAAATAGAACGTTGTGTGTTTGATGCTGGTGCTCACTGCTGCCCCAGGAACTTATTTTGTAGAGGCCAATTCAATGGGAAATTACTATTGTTTAATTTTTTGCAGATGTACGCCCGATCTTTGTTCTTATACCACCATGTTATCAGCTTATGTAAATGCTCCTGATATGGAGGGTGCAGAAAAATTCTTCAGAAGAATAAAACAAGATGGATTTGAACCTAATGTCATCACATATGGGACTCTAATCAAAGGGTACGCGAAGACAAGCAATCTTGAGAAGATGATGGAAAAATACGAAGAAATGCGTGTCTGTGGTATCAAAGCCAATCAGACTGTTTTCACCACAATCATGGATGCATATGGTAAGAACGGGGATTTTGGCAGTGCTCTAGTTTGGTTCAAGGAGATGGAATCTGGTGGGGTTCCTCCTGATCGGAAAGCAAAGAATGTTCTCCTCTCTTTGGCAAAAACAGTTGAAGAACAAACGGAGGCTAAGCAACTTTTAGGTCACTGCAGTCATTTTGCTGATGAGCAGACAGTTGATGGGCTCACCAAGTATGGAGATAATTATGATGACTTCGATGATGAAGATGAGTTTAGGGATGATGCCGAACAGACCGTCTCCTTTGAAGAAGAAAAAGAAGATGAAGTTGTAGTTTTAGGTAGTGGTTATCAATAAGACTTGGATGTCCAAGATGTTTTAACTGTTATCTGTGAATTTAGTTATTTATTAGCATACAATGGTTCGGAAAAAAGAGTGAGATCCCCTTCAATATACTCTCTCCTTTACTTTACTGTACTAAATTGGAGGAAAAGCGTATTGGACAGATCTGAATCCGAGAAAGAGGAAAATAAAGGGTCGTTGTATGGGAATAGTTGAAACATGACTGCTGTGTAAACTCGGGATAGGCGTAATTATCCATTCCCGNAAGTTGTAGTTTTAGGTAGTGGTTATCAATAAGACTTGGATGTCCAAGATGTTTTAACTGTTATCTGTGAATTTAGTTATTTATTAGCATACAATGGTTCGGAAAAAAGAGTGAGATCCCCTTCAATATACTCTCTCCTTTACTTTACTGTACTATATTGGAGGAAAAGCGTATTGGACAGATCTGAATCCGGGAAAGAGGAAAATAAAGGGCCGTTGTATGGGAATAGTTGAAACATGACTGCTGTGTAAACTCGGGATAGGCGTAATTATCCATTCCCGCTGTGGTAATATATTACGAGTGGGGGAAGCCACCGCAGCTGTCAGAGCAAAGTGATCTCAAGTAGCCATACAACCAGACAACAATTACTTATTCTGGCTTTCAAGCATTGTACTGATTAATACATACAAATAGAAAGAAATACAGAAGACCATACTACGACATTCCTTTTAGGAATTGCTAGTGTTCAAACTGACTCGGTGGAGCCAAAATGCCAAAGGATCGAAGTTGCCCTATTGCAGAAACCACCCTTTCAAAGGCGGTTCCTTAGACCCTGAGCTGAATAACATCAGCAGAGGAGGATCCACCAGTTGGCCATAGGCCTGGATGCGTCCACCCCGCCTCTTCAGTTAGAGCCATAGGTGCCATTGTCGGGGCGACTGAGCAAAAACTGCTATGTTACATATAGTGTGCTGCAGAGGGGTTGAACAAGGAGTGTTTGGCTTTGTTGTTAAATGGATGTTGTTGGTGATGAGAGCAATAGAAGAGGAAGGTGGCTTAAGTAGTAGTGTTCGGTCACTTTTAGTTAAAGAAGAGAGAAACAAAAAGTAAAAAGATGCAAATTAGCATCTTCCTAGGATATGCCATTGGCACCTCAACTGCTCCACATCTGAAGAAGATCCTAACCCATCCAATCCATTTCTTTTTGACCCCATATCATAAATGTTTCCTCCACTCAAACGATACATCACATGTGCAAATTCGAAAATCTCCCTCTTAAAAATAAGTTAAGATTTTCTATTACTTACATTTTCCAAACCTCATTATAAACGGGCGTCTTGGACATTTTGGACTAACTTCAACTTCTGAATTGGGTCGTGTTATCAACTTACTCTCTACGATCATCCAAAACAAACCATACCCTCTTGGGCATTTTAGTGTTCTTAGGCCTTTTTGTGGTGGTCTGAGTGAGATTTCATGTTGGGAGTGACAGAAGCAGAATCATTTCTTTCTTCCTACGAAGAAAAAGGGTTGGATGCTTTGTTGATGGCGTAATGCCTTTAAATGAGGTTTTGATCTTTATGAGTCATATGATGCCAATTAAGCCACATATAAAAAAGAAAAAAATCTATAAAGTTGGTGACTTTTAAAGGAATCTTGTATGGGATTTAGAAGCATATTATTTGATTCCAAAGAATTGAAGTAAACCAACTTTACTTGTATGTACCCCAAAAATGAATCTTAATGTAATTGTACCCCATACCTCCACATAAGGGTCAACAACAGGTTGGGTCAGGCCAACCAGTGAGAAACAGAACGGCCCACTGGTTGCCCATCGGGCAAGGCCTAATTAGTCTAGGGATTTTTTCCCATCAATTTTGGCAATTTTTTTTTATCTTTATCACGCTAGTGGGGGCTTACCCAAGGGCTTGCTCAGCCTTGATCAGGACCATTAGCCAATTCTTGCAGGCTAAACCAGGACTCATGACCTTACCCATTTGGCTATCGGACTATACATGGNGAATAGTTGAAACATGACTGCTGTGTAAACTCGGGATAGGCGTAATTATCCATTCCCGCTGTGGTAATATATTACGAGTGGGGGAAGCCACCGCAGCTGTCAGAGCAAAGTGATCTCAAGTAGCCATACAACCAGACAACAATTACTTATTCTGGCTTTCAAGCATTGTACTGATTAATACATACAAATAGAAAGAAATACAGAAGACCATACTACGACATTCCTTTTAGGAATTGCTAGTGTTCAAACTGACTCGGTGGAGTCAAAATGCCAAAGGATCGAAGTTGCCCTATTGCAGAAACCACCCTTTCAAAGGCGGTTCCTTAGACCCTGAGCTGAATAACATCAGCAGAGGAGGATCCACCAGTTGGCCATAGGCCTGGATGCGTCCACCCCGCCTCTTCAGTTAGAGCCATAGGTGCCATTGTCGGGGCGACTGAGCAAAAACTGCTATGTTACATATAGTGTGCTGCAGAGGGGTTGAACAAGGAGTGTTTGGCTTTGTTGTTAAATGGATGTTGTTGGTGATGAGAGCAATAGAAGAGGAAGGTGGCTTAAGTAGTAGTGTTCGGTCACTTTTAGTTAAAGAAGAGAGAAACAAAAAGTAAAAAGATGCAAATTAGCATCTTCCTAGGATATGCCATTGGCACCTCAACTGCTCCACATCTGAAGAAGATCCTAACCCATCCAATCCATTTCTTTTTGACCCCATATCATAAATGTTTCCTCCACTCAAACGATACATCACATGTGCAAATTCGAAAATCTCCCTCTTAAAAATAAGTTAAGATTTTCTATTACTTACATTTTCCAAACCTCATTATAAACGGGCGTCTTGGACATTTTGGACTAACTTCAACTTCTGAATTGGGTCGTGTTATCAACTTACTCTCTACGATCATCCAAAACAAACCATACCCTCTTGGGCATTTTAGTGTGCTTAGGCCTTTTTGTGGTGGTCTGAGTGAGATTTCATGTTGGGAGTGACAGAAGCATAATCATTTCTTTCTTCCTACGAAGAAAAAGGGTTGGATGCTTTGTTGATGGCGTAATGCCTTTAAATGAGGTTTTGATCTTTATGAGTCATATGATGCCAATTAAGCCACAGATAAAAAAGAAAAAAAATCTATAAAGTTGGTGACTTTTAAAGGAATCTTGTATGGGATTTAGAAGCATATTATTTGAATCCAAAGCATTGAGGTAAACCAACTTTACTTGTATGTACCCCGAAAATGAATTTTAATGTAATTGTACCCCATACCTCCACGTAAGGGTCAACAACAGGTTGGGTCAGGCCAACCAGTGAGAAACACAACGGCCCACTGGTTGCCCATCGGGCAAGGCCTAATTGGTCTAGGGTTTTTTTCCCATCAATTTTGGCAATTTTTTTTATCTTTATCACGCTAATGGGGGCTTACCCAAGGGCTTGCTCAGCCTTGATCAGGACCATCAGCCAATTCTTGCAGGCTAAACCAGGACTCATGACCTTACCCATTTGGCTATCGGACTATACATAGACTGCCACGTGGTGTTGGCCAGCCCATTTCCCGATGGACTGTTAGGCCAATGGGCCTTTGATGAGCATTACTTCCAAGGTATGCTACATCATCCAATGACTAACCAACAGTTTGGTTTGTTATCAACTTATTGGTCTAATACAATGCATATAGTGTAAATAGATCATACATGTATTGATTTACATGGCTTCTCAAAATTCAAAATACTAAGGCATGAAAAAAGATACCATCACTAACTAGATGACTTTCTATTTCTCTGGGATTGCTTGACAACCCACATTATTTCCAAAACTCTACTTCATAAAATAGTCACACCCATGTTGAAGAAAAATGGAGACATTGCATATTCTTTTATGGCTGTGGTTGGTTATACATATCTCACACTAGTTGACATTCTGCCAGCCATAATGCAACTGTTCCATTATGAACAAGTAGTTTTCATTTCAGTTATCTATTTATTATCCACATCCCTTAAGTACGTATTCTCAATCGTAGGAATCTGAGCCAAAAAATTGAGAAAATGAACATATTGTTGGACATATCTACCTATGATTGACAGAAAAACTCCATTGGAAAGGTAATCGATTCACAAAAACCACCTCTTTCCATTACTGGCTGACTTAAGCTTCATCACAAGATCCTCACGCTGGGCCTCTACTTCAGCATATTTGAGACTCATTTCGAAATAGCGCTCACGAATGTCTTTTAACTCTGTCTCTAGTGATGACTTGGTTCGCTCATACCTCTCTTTTGCCACTACTTCACCTTCAGCCATTGATTTCCTAAGAGCAGCTGTATGAATGTTCCGCCCCTCAGAGGAAAGCCTGCCAAAGAGTTGATAGCCAAGATAACAATCAAAATTGTGGACAACTCCAATGCTGTATAGGACTATTACAATGCAAATCAGATAATTGCAAGCCCTCCCCCTTGCCTCAAGTTATAGTAAGCATTTTAGTTTAGTTCTTGTCTAGCCAAAATGAACTAAAAAAAAAAAAGAAAAGAAAAGATTCAAACATATTGCATGCATTTGCTGCTTTTGCTTTTGCAGTCAAGAAAACAGATGTACGAGCCTAAAGGAACATATTCTATTAAGTCGGTCATTGTTTTCCCATATATGAATCGTCTTAATTTTCCTTTTATATTTGTTTCTTTTCCTCATATCTATCCTGCACAAAATGCATAAACTAAACTTACACTCAAGGAAAATTGCTTAATGGTAGGAATTGATTTGTCAAAACTTCAAGAGAATTATTACATTTATGACAGGTTTGATAACTTTATTTCAATTAGGTTTTTACTTTTGACCCAACAGCCTTGCCAAGGAGATCATAAAACTTAGCTGAGTTGTAGTGTAAGGATTAAAAGATTCAATATACTGTTTTGGAGTCATCGTCACCATGTTATCCACCATTGCCATCATCATTGTAGTCATCCAAGCCTTTGGAAGGCTGCCTTACCCACTTAAGTTATATGTGAATAATGCAGGAGTGCATACGAATATACAAGCACATGTGCTCGTATGGTCACACATGCAGTTATTTATAGGTGTTTACAGCTAAACTCAAGTATTTATACAGGCTAAAATGTAAAATGTTTATGTATATAGGCAAATTTCTATAGACCATTCAAAATTTGTTTAGTGGCCCCTCCCCCAGCAATAATTCTGGATGTTAAAATAAAAGCGAAATGATCATTTTTTTCTTGACAATTTCTTGAAACCTGATATTGATGCAGCTAACATTCTTATGAGTAAATGGCAGGCACCTTATTGAATAAAGAAATTGAGATTGAACATAGGGTTAATGCTATGGTTCAAAACCCAATGTGGTCAAAAGAGAAAAGGAAAAGGAAAAAGGAAAAGGAGGGTAGTTGGTGTACACATAAGAAATAAGGAGTTTGTTTTGATATTCCCTTTCTACCCACCTCTGAAGCTGAGTCTTAAACTTGTTATTTGCCTCCGTTGCCTCAGCAAGTTCATTCTCAAGCAACTGAATTTTTGCCATGTGATCCACTTCAGCATGTGGACTTCCATCATAAAATTCATGCTCATTACCACCCTGAATGAAAGAACTGAAGTGATAAGTTCAAAAACAAAAAGAGCTACAGAATGATTAAGGAGATAGATGACATAACAGGAATAGAGATAATTATTCCACTCAGATCAAAGTGGCAAAAAGTTTAAGTTCCATCAACTATTTCGGAGGCAAACTAGAATGGAGAAGTAATAACATATGTAAAGTCCATCTACTAAAAAATTAAAGCAAAAAAACATAAGTCGCACCTCTGTTTGACATTGACTTCTTTGTGAATTTTGTCTATCTGTAAGTAGTTTTCGTGATTGACTAGTCTTTGCGGCTGTTCTTTTTCTGCTATCAAATTGTTGATTGTTGCTCTTCTGTATTCCATTCTGTTGAACAAATTAGAGGTCCAAATTTGTCCATTAGCAGCTAACTTTTCAACTGGAAAACAACAGATGTATCCTACTGAAAGAATAAGAAGTAAACACTAACCCTTTTACTGAAAGACTCGTTTCGATCTTGCCTTTTTTCCTCCATCAGTTTCAGATCTTCCTCCAAGACTTGAGCCCTTCGCAAGTATTCTTCCTTCTCCTCCTCCAGTAGTTGTATTTTCAATTGATGCTCATTTCTCAGCTCAGCTTCCTGTGCATAGAGTGCCTCTTTTGCTTCTAGATCACCCTCCATCTGCCGAAGCTTTTCTTCTAAGACAACTTTCTTATATTTGCAGTCCTCAAACTCGGACATGTCTTTCTGCAGGTTTAAAATTTTATCAACAAATAAAATTTTCTCAGCCTCAAGTTCTTCACAATCTTTAGATATTGAATGCAGTGAGGCTTCCAATTTTTCCTTTTCAAACTTAAAATCATTAAGCTTGCTCTTTAAAGCCGAGACTTCATCTTGAAGAGGTGCTATTTTCTGCAACTGAGCCTTTAAACTGAACGTTTCTTTAATAAGTTGTTGGCGTTCATATTCAGAAACAGTAAGTTTCAGCTCGAGGTCATTTACTGCTGTTTTGAGTGTCTCTTCGCATGACCTGTACTTAGCCAACAACTTCAATATTTTTGCATGGTCAGCCATCAGTTGTTTGGATGCAGCAATCTCGGCCATCAAGCTTTGAACCTGAAACTCTGAATCTGTTCGGAAAGTATCCAGCTCAAGCTCAGCCGATTCTACTTTAGATTGAGCTTCCTGAAGTGCGGATTCCAACTTTGCTTTGTCAGCACGTAAACCGGATAGTTCATGAACAACTTCCGAAGCAACTCTTTCTCTTTCGTCATGGGCTGCAGAAATTTGCTTGGCCAGGTGTTCTACCTTCCTCTGAAGGATCTCAACTTCAGATGTCTTCTCCAAGCACATTTGATTTAACAAACTTTCTTGAAGAACATGTTTCTCCTTGTGTTCCTTATTTTCTTGAAGAAGGCCGTCTAATTCTGATGTTAGGGCTTTCTCTTTCAAAGAAAAATCTTCTAACAGTGAAGTCAGATTTTTCTCAAAAGCTTCAATTCTTTCAGAGTAATCAGACAAACTTTCTTGTGATTCCTTCAATTCTACCTCCAGCTGTTTACAATGCCCCTGCAACTCGACTTTCTGCCTCCTCAATTCTCCATTTGAGTCCTTAAGAACTTTGTATTCCTCAATGAGACTCTCGGAAGATGCTTGTAATTTCTCATTTTCCATTTTCAGAGTTTTGCCCTCCCATTCAGATTCTGACAACTGACTCTGCACATGCTGTAATTTTTGTTTGAGATCTCCTTTTTGTGTCTCCAAATCAATAGCCAATCTTCCAATCTCATCTTGTAGGCGTGAAACATTAGCTTGGGAATTCTCTAGCTCCGATCGACTGTATTCCCTCTCATCTGACATATACCTGAGTTGAGTTTCCAAGCCAGATATGCATTCTGATAACTGCTTGTTTTCTTCTTGCAGCTTCAATACATTAAGCTCCAATTCATGTTTCTGACATTCTAGCTCCGATAATTTGCTCTCAAGAATATTGTTAGCAGAAACATGGGAATCAACACTGCTGCTAAGCACCACGAGATCATTTCGTAAAGCATCCAAGCATTTAGAGGTGATTTTACTTTCCCTGAGCACAGTTTCTATGTTATCCTCCAGCTTGTCATTTTCCTTTTGAAGGGCAGAAACCTGTGCTTCTAGTTCCCTCTGACACTGTCTAATAAAGTCATTCTCCTGTTCCTTTGACAGCAAATCAGTCTCGAGCTTCTCCACCATGGATATTTTTTCAGCCATTTCCTCTCCTAGTCCTCTCTTTGTTGTCTCAAGTTCTTGAAACTTCAAAATGTAGTCTTCTAACTTCGTTTGAGCTTCTGCTGCAGTAATGTTCTTCTCTTTGATCTCTATTGCACCACGTTTAAGAACTTCTTCACACTGAGCAATCCTTGCTTCCAATAATTTGTTCAGCTCAGAGAAACAGTTAGTACTATATTCAGCCCACCCTTTTGAAGCAATTGAATCTGTTTTGCTCTCATTCAAAAAATAATCAATACAAGATTTACACACATCATTAACATCATAAGAGACATTATGCCATGGCTTCTTTATGTGGTGAAGAGCCATTTCAAGTTGTTTACACAATTCAGGCAAAAGTTTAGATGCCTGTTCCTCCTCAACCACTTTCTTCTTAAGCTCCTCTTCCAGATGGTAAATTTGGGATTCAAATTTACTCACCTCAGAGTCAGAAGTAGCAAAATATTTAGCTGGAAGTTCACTGGATGAATTAAAAGATGCACATCTTGGCCCACAATTGTTATTCAATTCCTTCAGCTTGAAAAGGAGTTTGAGATTCTCGTCAGTGAGCTCACTGCAATCTCTTTCTAGCTCCTCCACCTTTTCCTTTAAGGTTTCAATACTTTGTACCGGATCAACATCAATTTTTTGAGTGGACACTGCTTCCTCTGAATGTTTTCTTTCACAAGACTCTAATAATTTTGTTTGTATACTGGCTATTTCTTCTTCTTTAACAGATAACTTACACTTGTATTCTTTCTCAGTATCCAAAAGTGTCTGCCTATATGAATTCCGTTCCTTCTCCAACTCATTATTTTTCTCATTCAAGGATTGTTCGAGCAATTGAACGTTAACTTGCAGTGTCTTCTCCGATTCCTGCAGTTGTTGCAGCTGAACTACTAAATTTCTGTTTTCCTCTGAATTCTCCTGGATAGATTTTTCCATATCATTGAACCTCCGCTGTAGCTCAGAAAGATTTTCTATCTCAACTTTCTGCTTTTCTATGGTATCCTCCAGTTCTTGAAGAACAGAGACAAGCTCAATGTTAGATTCTTGACTACTTTTCAACTGTAGAGCCATATTAGCATATGATTCTTGCTGATATTTTATCTCATTTGCCAGTTCCTTCTCAATACAAATTAAACCTTCAGATTGATAGACTGAATCTTTTGGGGCTTTCTGTTTCATCATTGTCTCCTCCAACATTAGTTTCGCTTGCTCAACTTCTTTCTTCAATCCTTCATGTTCCATGTATGCTGCTGAAAGCTCCATCTCCAGATTTGCATATTTCTTTGATTGATCAGTGAATTCCTTTCTCAATATGTCTAGATCGAGCATTAGCTTCCGTGCATTTCTCTCCCACATCTTAGCTTCTGAACAAAGCTCTTCAATGGTGTCTTCTGCTGCTTCCAGTAGGTTTTTGGAAGAACCAGCATTTGTCAGGGATGATGTAGCAATAACATGTGAAGAACTTTGCCCAAACTCTGTTTCTTGATTCTGCAAATCATCCCCTGAGCCCACAACCCTTGAATTGAAGGATGAGTGATTTGACGTAGAATTATCATTGACAAAATAATCACCATCCGGGAAAATATTTCCAGAGCTGGCTGCCTCTTTTCTTCCATGCATGTTGTAAATGTCACCATTCAAGTCTTTTTTCAGGAGGATATTGTCCCTTCTAATGGAACTGTCTGCTGAGTTGAAGCTGTGATCAGAACCAAATGCCGAATAACTTGTTTCCTACAGTGAGATTAGGAAAAAATTCCAGTAAAAAAAGGTAGCAAAAGAAAGGTTCAAGTACCTTCCGAAAAAAGAAAGGTTCAAGTATGTTGTGTGATTTGAGTTTACAAAATATCTATGCAGAAACAAAACAAGAGGGGTAGGTCTGAGGATCAACTAATTTAGTTTAAATTCACTTCACTATTTTGAAATATAGCCATTAAAAAGTTACTGAATGAAGCAAAAGAGAAGTTAGATTCTATTTAACAAGTTCCCTATCAGAATTTGAACTTGTAAAAAGAAGTCCACCTATATGCTTAACAATTGTGCAGAAGGATGTGCCTCAGTTCAAAAACACGCATAAATGAAAAGGTTTTCAAATCCTTATTATGCCTCATTCACATAGACTTACATAAAAGAGTGACATCTTGATGCCTAATAAAGGACTATAATCAAATAGAATGTTGCATATTTTCATAAAGGAATACTACAGAAAATGTCACTTATAATCTTCATATAGAAGGTTGCTGATCTGAAGAAACACTCTCTTACAAGTAAATTAATCCTCAAAGTTTTGAAGTTAAATGAAAGCAGAAAGGCAGCTCATAATATATGAAAATATAAACATACCCTGCTTCCTAATTTTCCTGGATGTGAGGTGGAGCCCAAATCTTGACTTGAAGGAGATCCACCACTCCTGGCTAATGAATTATCAGAGCCATTTGACTTGTTGCACAGATCATGGTTATCTACATTTTGATCATCCATGTGTGGAACTGAGTCTTTTGATCCTTCATCCCTGGGAAATTATGCAGCAAACCTTCAAACTAAAATAAAAAACACTGAAATCTCATGACCAATGGACTGTCACCAAAAGTTACAAACCTGAGTTTTGTTCTTGGGGTTAGACAATGAATTTTGACCTGAAATTTAGGGGCAGAATTAACATGTAAGAGCCAAATTCTGGTATCAGACCTTGAAAAAAAGTGAAAGTCAAGTGTTCCATGCCCAAACTTAGAGATTGAAAATACAACCAGTGTCGATATATAGAATGGGCTCGTAGATTTCTATACACCAGAAGAGTGGGTCGGCTCTCATATAAAACTTTAATCTCAGCTTTTCTTGAAATCTATTCCTTAACCATGTCAAAATAACTGTTGAATCAACAGGACAAATCTGACACAATGTGCCAGTCATTGTTTGTTTCATAAAGTCATATGTATGCTAGCAATCCCGTTAAGGTATGTTGTCCACTACTTCAGCATGTCCTGTAGCCAATTCCTGGGCACTCATCATTTTAATCTAGTGCACCAATAACTAGCACACAAACAACAAATATGCATTGTAATATAACAAAGAACGAAATCAAAAGCCAAATGCAAATAAAATTTTGAAAAATGTGATCCCATCCTCCATAGGGAAAACAAAATTTGAAAATGACTGGCATAATCAAGTCTTCCTCTACAATGCTCACCTTTGGAATTACTTCTCTTTTCGGTTTTTAAACTATGAACTTCAGACTTTCTTCTTCATTCTTGGAAAAATATTATAACTTACTTCATCAGGACACAGGATTGTGCCAACTTAGTTCCATTTCCTCTGTGCATTAATTTCTGCTAGTGTATATTAGACTATTCTCAGAGGTTCATCAAATCCACTGTGCACAACCAGAACCTAAATGCATTAGCAGAAGAGTAGTCGGGGGTGGGTGATTGGCAACTGTAAGACTTAGCTCAATTGCTCCAGCATCCATAAGCAAGGTAAAAACATTAACCTATTTTTCTGATAGTGAATTCCAAATTTGGATCTTCTTATATGATCCTAACAATAATTTTCAGTTCTTTCTGAAACACTGAATTGATTATTATGATTTGCAAAAAATGTATCAAAAAATTTTGCAACNTTCCAAATTTGGATCTTCTTATATGATCCTAACAATAATTTTCAGTTCTTTCTGAACACTGAATTGATTATTATGATTTGCAAAAAATGTATCAAAAAATTTTGCAACTCCAGGAATATCAACAAAGGGATGATTTTAATATTGTCACTCGAAAAACTAATATGTAATGAAGGAAAGTATGACTTCATATTTAACATAAAAAGAAAACTAGGACTTCCTGACTTCAGTTTTCACCTTCCACAGTGATAAAAAGATGGTGCTTGTATTTTCTGTACCCTATTAGGTGTCACATCATTACTCAAGAATTCAAAATCATATCAAAGTTTTTTTTCCTTTTCTTTCTTTCTTTCGTTGTTAAAACTCAAATTGGATATGCTTTCCATTCTCTTGCATATAACAAGATTAATTTTTATTCTCATCCTTGAAACTTAACTTGATAAAGTAGTTATTTTACACTCAAATTGGTTGTTCGCCATATGAAACTTAGAAGACTGATGCAGTAACTTATAAAATGATATTCGAGCTCTGGAGCAAGAAAATTTTATATTCTAGAAAGTGCATAAAATAACAAGGGTAATCAGAACATAATTGTTAATGACTCACCTGTAAGGTAGTCCCATAATTGCATTTTTTCAATGGCAAAGAAACAGGAGCAGAGGCCTTTGAATTCATGTATTGTGCCATATTGACAGTAGCTTCTCCAAGGATGCCAGATCTAGCTGATCCCTGTAATCGCAAAGCCATTTGGATCTGTCCCATGAGTCATCTCAAAATTTTGAATCTTTGCAGAGAAAAAGAAAAAAGAAAAAAGAAAATAATCCTAGAAATAATCTGAGTTCATCAGTGAAACAAAATGATGTTGTCCCAACAAAGAACAGCATTGAAACCATACCATAGTAATAACAAGCTTGAAAAGATACTCTTCAAGTTCTTTTGGAGAATCATCATGTGAAAGCCATATAGATTCCGACAGAGTCTCTGTCCATTGACAATTTCCATTCCGCACCAGTGCTTTGTTTGATTTTGCAATTGTTTTTCCAGTTTCCACAGAGATAATAGACACAAAAAGCTTGTCCCATCCTTTTGGTACCTATTAGCAAAAATGTCATGGGTAGCAGATCATGATTGAACATTGGCCAACATATTACTGGGATGCAAGCACCACTACATAACTAAACCGAGCATTAATTGACTAAGCAGAGTTTTGGAGAACCGCGTGTTGGTTGGGTTTGGATCTTCTGTCTTCCCTAACACATACTTCTTTCGTAATACACATGGAAGACAGAAGGATCTGATGACATTTTATTCCGAATTGAATCTCATAATTTGGTACTATTCAGGACTAATAACAGTTCTCATGGAGACCAACATCAATAACCCTGATAATGCGTGTTGATTGCCATCAGTCACTTTGATTCTTCAACAATGCAAATTATGAATAAAAATTAGACCAGTGACTAGTGGTCATAGTTTTCCAAATCCTTTTTCTTGAATCCCAGAGCAAATATCCAAGGCTTCCATTGAGCCTTTATCAACAGTTATATTGGTAGTTTTCAATCTCACTAGGGCACCTATTTCTATATTTTAATTCCAATAGAAAATTCCAAGATTGTTGCTTAAGGCTAACTCAATATGACTTATGAACAATATACTACACACACACACACACACACAACCACATAATACAACAAAAGTATCAGTATAACAATATGCAATTTTCTGCTGCCATTGATCATTTTGCATCAAGTGAATCCTTACTACCACTATATTCTCACGCCTTCCACAGATTTAGTCTTATGTTTTATCATATTCCTGTAGACTGGTAACTAATCACAATTCAATTCAACTTGAATGAACGAAGCAGTCTCGAAATATTACATAAAAAGAACAGCTGGAGATTAAGTTACAGAAGAAAATGGTCAAGCACCTGAAGGGCTTGAAAATTTGAGAACTTGAAATCAATCCTCTCCCCCGATTTGGATGACTTGTTGTTTTGCCTCTGTAACTTGAACATCCTCTCTCTGTCTCTCTAATGCGACTACTATCAGTACTAGATATTGAAATGTGGCATGAACAACAATTCTAGCATTGGCCCTGTAGAGAGAGAATGCAATGAATGAATGAAATAATGTATAAGAGAGAGAGAGAGAGAGAGAGAGAGGGTAGCTAGCTGGTCATTGTTTTAAATGGGTGTTGTATGATTTTCATAAACTTTTTGGCGTTTCATGATCATCTTTTGAGGAGAAAAGGAATGTGTGATATTCTGATATTGTGTCGTATGCACTCCAACTCCAAACCAGATACAACCGGTCACTTGACATGGACACAGTACATATACATATTCATATTCACACACACACATACCTTTCTGGATGTCATTCTCTGGAAGTCTAAAGAAAATGTTGGGCTAACAACTCCTCGGATTTGCATTGGGGATTGATACACGATGGAACAATTCGAGTTTGATTTTAACCCAACTCGATTTTGGCTCACTCAAATGCGTGTACATTATAGTAAAAGTTAAACATATTTGATCGCATATGTAAACAAGTTTGAATCTAAATAACATGTAACTTGATCAAAATTTGGATAACTTACTATCAAAATTGTGTAATTAGGATAGTTCTTTGACTAAAATTTGATCAAGAGTTATCTAAATAATTTTTTTACCCATATTTAGGTATTACGTGACGAGTTTATAATAAAAATTATTGATAATCTAGACGTAGTCTGCTTGAGGGACCATATAAAAATATACTCAATACTTCGATGATTAAACTGATGTAATTGAAATATTGGGTACAAAAATGAGACAAATCCTATAATTTAAGATTTCCAATACAATTAATCCTATATTATGATAATTTTTATATACATGGGTAAATCACAATTTTCAATAAATAATAAACTATGACAAATTTGAATATGCATAGAAAAACAAGCAGTAAAGAAAAATAAAAAAGGAACACAATTAGAGCGTTTAAAGAGATTAATCCCTTGACCTCTTAGTTGAGAAATCTTCAAAAAATTAAGGGCGATAAACTCGACTAAGTCCAATTATTTTATTCTATTTTATGGTTGACATAATAGATGTCGAAATTTTTTGTATGGAGAAGTGGAGAGAACAATGCTATCCCTGCTAGGAAATGGGTTTAACTCTTATGGGCGTGGTCCATGGCAACCAAAAAAAAAAAGGGCAAAGTTCACAAACAATGGAACAAGAAAAATTAAAAACAATTACTCACCTTGGGATATACGACACCGGGAGAATATTTTGTCCACCACAAAGAACTTTGGACTGTGATTGGTCGCGTATAAATCTAGGAAATGTTATTTTAATACAAATTACAAGGTTGTAATGACGACTTCAAAAAAATAATAGACGCAATTGTGTCATATTGAGTTTGTGTTATCTAATAATCGGTATATATACAAACGAGTCGTGTATTTTTTTTATTGGTTTCACCACTACGTAATTTATTTGTTAATCGTGTCGTGTATAATCCACTCATTTATGAAATGAATGGTTTGAGAAAGAACTAAATATTCTAATTTTGTTAAAGAGTCGTGTCATATTTGTTAAAGAGTCGTGTCATATTTTAACACAGTGAAACCACACAACACTCTAATTTTTTGAGAAACTACTTAAGATTGACCCCACATTATTATCGTGCTGTTATAATTCAATTGAAAAACAACAAATAAGCAAGTGAGTCCTATACAATTCATGAAATATCCTTCCATTGTTGTGAATCGGAGGAAAATGAACCCCACCTCTTAGCAGCCTCCCATTTTCTTTTTCCTTAAACGTAGGCAATGTCTATGGTCGAAAGTCGGACAATAAATAAAGAGTAATACTATTTGAACATAAAAGTTTGATTTAATTTGTTGATATAATGATGTGATTTTAATAGAATCATTAGATCAACACCAAGTTTCAATATTTAAAGGACTCCACAGTCAATCCAAAGATCATAGTAAATTAGGTCCCAATAGTATTGCTTATAAATAAATAAACATATTACTGTACGGTGGAATTTACTAAGAACAACATGTGTACAGCTCAGTTACAATAGTTGGCAGTTAAAAGTTTGAATCCATTTTGTGAATTCGCTACGTGAGGTGAGCTATTGAAAACCCCGGTCCGGGGATACAAGGGGAGATAAATGCAGGCTTCGACTCAGATGCAGAGTATTCTCCGTCGTCCGTTGCTTGGTCGCTCTCTCTCTGGTATATGTCATTATCTAATTCCATCGCTTCTTGGGGAGAAAAAGGGAAGAGCGACCAATCCGCCAACGGGTGATACGTGAGCGAGATTTTCAGTGAATCAACTAAGTCAATTCCTTTATGCTTTGCACTCCGCTTCTTGATTCCTTTATAGCCCTTTTCAGCCACGTGCGATAGCACTCTTTACCCGGAGAAACTTAATGGAAAGAAAATTGAAATGATACACTTTCCTTTCTTTGTGTTTAGTAAAATAGATGAAAAATAAAAATGATTATTTTTTTTGTGCTTGATAAGGTGGAAAAAATATTTTTTTAAATTTTTAATTTTTTTAGAAAAAAGTATAAATACATATTTTATCATTGTATTTATATATAAAATTAATGTATACATAATATATATATTAAATGATATATAGACAAATAAGATACATTTCAACACAAATAATTAACTTTCTATTCATTTTTCTTACAATTTTGAAGGAATTGATTTTGGTGAGTTAGAAAGAAAGTTTATTTATCTACTTTTTCATCCTTCAAAATTACCTTTCTTATCAAACATGATGTTTTATTTATCCCTTAAATTTTGCATCCTTTCAACTTTTCATTATTCTATTTTTCCATCATACTAAACGGAGCACAAGTATATTGATGGCGGGTTAATCCATCAAATTATAACAGAAATTGTTAACTGTATAATTCTTTTAAGATTGTTGATGTATGTGCTAATGAAATACCAATAAGAGAGATTCACTCCATGATAATGGTGACAATTTTGAACACAATATAATAGGATGACTTCCATTTGATGCAAAATTAACAAGTTTAGATTAAAATTAAGCGTGTTTATGTGAGTAACTTATAAAGCTCAACTAACTCAAAACAACTTATTTGTTAAACGGATTACGGGTCGGGTCATGTACCGTGTCACCCTTCAATAATTGAATCACCCAATAATAACCTTTTCAAGAGAATTGATGCACAATGAATGGCTCGTGACAGGTCTTTAATTAAAATTAATAATGGAATTACCCTACAAAGAGCATATGCTGTCAGCCATGCCTCATACAATAGGTTAAATGTCTCTCCACATGATTAGATTGCATATATCTGATCTTTCACGAGCCTCGCAATTACGAGAGATGTGAAAACTTTTCACTTGAGAAATTCTAGGACAGTGTGGAAGGAATCAATATATAATGCTTGAAACTGCGAAAAACCGGCTGAAACGCCAAGCTGCTTGTATTCCTCTTCTGTCCTATGCTTACCCTTGGCTCTGTGGATTGTCATGGCGAAGATGTCTCCTTCAAGTAGGGCTCGGGTTCGATGACTGTTGTCGGAGTTCCGGGGTAGCACTGGTTCGCAAGCAATCATCTTCCAGTCCATGATTTTGATACCCACTGCCAAAAGGAAGAAACGTACTGGTTTTGATTTTACGCCAAATTATAAACCTTTTGGTCTCAAATGCAATTATTAACCATCATAGCCAAGGCAACTTGGAGTCTTGAACAACAAGGTAACCAATTGAATATGGATGGTGAAAATACAAAAACACACACACACACTCACACAACATAAATATTTCGCATTTTCTTCAATATTTTGCGTGACATCCACTGTGCATGGGCTCTGATTTGGATCCAATTACTAAGAAGCCATCCATAGCCGTGGTCGTGCAAGTTGCTACTACGTTTAACAATGCCTAGAAAAAGTTTCCCAAGTAGTTACCTGTAGATACAATTTGAAAATGTTTGTTTTTTTGAAAGTACTCTGGTTGGTTTTTTTTTTTTTTAAATAGCATTTATTTTTGTATTTTTTTTTCTTGTCGGGACTTACTCCTTTCTTCTAAATATAAAAACATATACAGTAACTACAATACACGTATATAAAGAGTATAATTTGTGCAGTAAAATGCATTTATATCATTTTTCCAAAATAGTATTTAAACACACTTCTATTTTTTCAAGACACTTTTTTTTTTCTGCATAAAAAATATTTAAAAAAAGTTACAAAACAGTGCCTTAGACTTTACGAAAAGCTTGATTTGTAAAGTACATGTATTGGTGGTGTTAATTTCACGCTTCAAGNTCTGCATAAAAAATATTTAAAAAAAGTTACAAAACAGTGCCTTAGACTTTACGAAAGCTTGATTTGTAAAGTACATGTATTGGTGGTGTTAATTTCACGCTTCAAGAACTCATCTTGACTGAACAAACTTTAGGTACTAAAGTTGTTCAGTTCCACCAGACACCCCATGAAACCTCAATAGAGTCAGCTGGGGACAAGTTTTCAATCATAATCATAAGGTCGAAACACTCCACCTAACAGGAACTCAATCACTTAAGTCACCCTTTTTTTTGCAACCAAAACTTATAAGCACCTACTAGCTTTTTATTCGGCTCGATTTCTTTCTGTATTCGGTTGTGAAGTTTTGAAATACATTCTTACGCAGTGCAAATCTTATATATAGAAACATTATATGGATTGGTCAGGTATTATTAAAAATTGAAAATGACATGATACGTGTTGATCCCAAAAGCTGTTCACCATGGAAGGATAGGTGAATGGATGATCTGGCGATATCTGGTGAGTTCTTGTAAGGGAAATCTATGATCGGAGGGGTTCCGGTGATCGACCCTCCAATGATAAAGTCAGTAAAAGTATGATAAACTGAGTTGTATTTAACTAGGAGATGATTAATTATCTGGTTCATGGCTAGCATGACCCTTTTATATGTAGGCAAACTACGCCGTGGAGCTCCTCAACCACTTTTTAAATAAGGCAACAGAGAAAGTGGAACGTCCCTCGAGGGCTTCGCAACTGGTTTGAGTTACTCTTTAGGCGAATGGTTGGATACCGAACTGGGATATGGTCGAGTAGACATCTAGGTGGTTGTTGGAGCCTTCTTATTAAGAGGCAGAGCTCATGTGCCAAGCTTGAGCGTTCGTGCCAAGCTAACGTGCCAAGCTCAAGCACACGCATTGGGCCTGTAACTAATTCATGCTCATCAGTTGCCCCCTAGTTCAGACCAGTGGAAGACTCGCGTCATGCATTGATTACACTTGCTCGTTAGAGACCTGAGAATGGAACCTCTTGCTTTGTACACATCTTCTAATTCCATTGTTACTGCTTTTACTTTTTGAGGTGAAAAAATTCCAACCTTGACTCTCTAGAGTCTTTTGTGGATGAATCCATTAGTGCTTGGCCTAAATATATGCTTGACTTTTGCTTCTCTTTGGTTGTTACTAACCTTAATTGCAACCTTCTGACGAACTTATATACTAACCACCGTAACTTTCTGATTAGGGCTGTTGATCTAGATCAATCCCTTTCCGAAAGCGTCCTGGTGCTAGTGGCCCAAGTCGATGCGGCTAATGAGGATTCCGACTCCATCTTGGAGATCAGCTCTTCATCTCTCAGTTAGTGGGGACTAAGAACTACCATTGTTTCTTAAACAAGAGTTCTCTTCAAGAGCTTAGGACTTTATACTAGATTCCTAACACCGTACATCTACAGATTCCTTATGCTAGTGAGACCGGTATTTTTTTTTCTCCTGATGAAGTTTGCTTTTATGAATCCATTCTTGAGGCTAGGCTTTGCTTTTCAATACCTACATACATTAGGGAAGCACTCTACCTTTTGAACCTTGCTCCTATCCAGCTAAACCCTAATAGCTGGGGCTTTTTGATTGGTATGGGTGTCATCTAGGTCAAGGCGAATAGTGTTGACATACAAGCTATCTTTGCCAAGATCATGCAATGGTATAAACTCACCTTTTGCTCTGGGCAAGGATCGGGGTGGTTCTACTTTTCGAAAAGAGAGGGTTCGACCCTACTAACGGGCAACTCCTCAAACGTGAAAGAGTGGAATGAAAAGTTCTTCGTCTTTGGCCCTGGCTGGGAATTTGAGCCTTCCGAGGCCCCTTTCAACGACTTCTTTTGGACCCCTCGCATCTGGGGGTCTTCTACTCCTTTCCCCAGTAAGTGGGTTTCCTCATATGTAGTTTTTTCCATGACTTCTTCAAATTTTAACCATTTTATTTTCTTTGGATGTAGGTAAATCAAATCCTTTGTCTCTCTAATTGAGAATTCGAGTCAAGAAGGCACTTGACTACCCTACCAAAGATCTTACCGATCTTGTGAATGACCAAACTCTCTTCGAGTATCTACTGGGTCCCTCTCCGGGTAATCCCAACCCTTCCTAAAGGTATGACTTCCTTTTACCACAATTTGTTCTAGCCTAAGTACGCTTTAACTTGTAGTTTTTCAATTATGGCCCCGAAAGTTATTGACAAGAATTCCCTTCAAGAGGTTGCGGCCGAGAAGGCCTCTAAAACCAGGCCCCCTTTTTGAAAGAGATCGAGGGTGTCTTTTTCTCAAGCCAAAAGGGGTATCCCCGAGCTTTACTTTCTCACAAGTGTCTCCTCCGACCTTTGGGGCTATCCTGGGAGATGTTGCAGCTCAAGCCGTTGATCTTGGATTAACGGAACCTCTTTTGGAGATTTCTTTGGTCGAAAATCCCCTTGTCCTTTCGGTAAATAAAGGGAAAGGTAAGGCCTCGGGAGTTACAGAGGAAAAATATCATGCTATGCCATCCCCTCCTATGAGTCCAGTGACCATTCCTAAAATCATGTAGGACAACAATGGAGGAAGCGATGGCTCGGCTCCATTAGTTTGTTCACAAGGATGAGGTACAAGCTAGCTACCTTTGACTTAGGGCCACTCTGGGTGACCAAATATTTGGCCCTTGTTGTTGGGAAAGTAAGACCTTCAAGCATACTAAGATTCTTTCCATCTTCTTCTACTTTTAATTTCTTTCTTCTTATGTCATCTTGCGATTCTTACTACCATCATTTCCTACACCGTTCTGGTTGAGAAAAATTTCTGCGAGGAGGAACTTCAGTCTTTTCACTCCCAGTTGGAGGCAAAGGATGTAGAGTTGATGTCTGCTCGAGAGGACGTCCTTCGTGTTATGAAAGAAGTTGAGAAGGCCTCTAACCGACTTTTTAGTGTTAAGGGGGATAGAGACAATGCCTTACAGTATAAGGACAAGTTGTTGGCCAGGATAAACAATATCACAGCTGAGCTCTCCAAATAAGGACTTGGAGGGCAAAAAAAAGACTCTTTCTCATAAATTCCTGGAGCTTTCAGCCATATTAGAGCGGAAAGAGCTCAAGATCAAGTCTGTTGGACAGTCTGCTGTGTCTAAGTACTAAGACTCGAAGGAGTTTAGAGAAGAAATGTGGACTTTCTTACTTCAAACTTGACGATGATACGACGTCTGTGGCTTGAGGTGATAAGAGGGAAGGCAACAGTGTTTTAAAACCCAGCCCGACTCGACAGGTTAACCCAAAAAATCAACAAACTGATACTTGAGCTAGGCCGATATTTACTTTGGATCGTTTGTACAATTGACTCACTATAGAACCGTTCAAACTAGTCATTTTTCAAATAACCGGTTGAAAACTGAACAGTTTTCTCAAGCTCGACAAACTTCTATCTTAAAGTGTATTAAATTTTTAAACATTAGAACTCAATTGGCCCACTTGGCTTGCCTCATCAACAAGAGTTGAAAGAAGCCATCAAGCGTTGAACATCATTCATGTGGTAGACCGAATTGCAATTTTATAGGCACATATGCCCTCACTCTTCTTATGGCTTTCCGACGAGAATGTCTAAATTACTTTAACTGGTGTTCTATTTTTCATGCCTTGCAGTTTATTTTGAGCTATTTTTTTTTGTTTTTTTTTGGGGATCATCAATATGTTATTATTTATTCTAAATATTTAATGCTTATTAGTGAAATTTTTTATGCTCTAAGCAAATTAATGAATTAGAGATATTTTTTGTCCTTGTATTGCATTTACTCTAACATAAAATATGTTATTTTTATAACTATCATAATCTTGTAGGATATTTATTATTAATAATAATTATTATTTATCATTAATTATATGACCAGTTCGACCGACTAACACATGGTTGAACCAGTAACCATTGATTTGATCCCTTTGTCTAGTTGATGTCTGGGCCGAGTTTTAAAACTATGAAAGACGATGGTGAGGAGGTGAATATCATGCCCCACATAGAAATGGGGGATGAGCTTGCTCTGATTGTTGCCAGGTACTCTCCTACTTTGGCTGAAGAAACTGTAGGATCATTGTCAGTTCTTTCGAAGAGGTTGTTGCCACTATTTTGGCTGTGTCACCAAGGGAGACTGTTTAGTGTAACTCCTAGTTTTTTTGTAGTCTGCTTCTTATATTGAAATGAGATTTTTAATAAGAAGCTCATTGCTACATAGTTTTTGGCTTGGTCTTGAAACTAGATGTTTTTGTGGTTGAACCATGTTGCGTTGGAGTCCCATTTTTGGGTTGAATCTTTTAGGTC